TGTTGCTAGCTATTACTTGCGGTTTGACTGGTTTATTAGAAAAAGAAGCTGGAGGCGCAGCTCAAAGCAATCAAAGGAGAAGATGAGCAGGGAGATGCAGAAGACGACGAAGAGCAGCAGCAGCAGCAGCAGCAAGCGGATGAAGGTTGGGTGAATGTCTCTGTAGAGCAGCAAAACCCTAAAGTAGATGAACATATCGTAAGCTAACTGCTGCTGCTGCTGCTGCTTTTGCTGCTGCTACTGCTGCTGTTGCTGCTGCTGCTGTTCTTGCGGCTGCTGCTGTTGTCTTGCTGGTGCTGCCGATTTTCTTGTTGCTGTTGCTGAGGGTGCTGCGGGTGCTGCTACTTTTGATGCAGCAGCAGCAGCAGCAGCAGAACAGCCATATCCGATGCTGTTGCTGCTGTTGCTGCTGCTGCTGCTACTGAGGATACCGTTGTTGTTGCTGTTGCTGCTGATGCTATTGCTTGTGCTGCTTTTGTTTGCTGCCATTGCTGCTTGCTGCTGATTGCTGCTGCTGCTGCTGCTGCTGCTGCTGCTGGTGAATGAGGCGGATGCTGTGTCAGTCTATTTTAGTTTGTTTGTTCTTGAAATGATGTGTAAGACAATAAAAAAGATAAAGGAGATAATATAAATTAATATGCTGAACATATTCTTTTGTTTGCTGCTGCTGGTGTTAACAGCAAAATGCAGCGAATGAAGTCGTCAGCACTACAGCAGCAGCAGCAGCAGAAGATGAAGAGCAGCAGCAGCAGCAGCAGCAAAGCGAAGGCCGGCGTCGAGATAAGAAGAAAGGGGACAGAAGCAAAGATAGAGAAGGCAGCAAAGAGAGAAAGGAGTCAAAAAAAGATAAGAAGAAAGACAAAGATAAAAGCAAAGATAAAGATAAAGATAAGACCAAAGATAAAGATAAAGATAAAGATAAAGATAAAGATAAAAAAGATAAATCAGAGGGTAATGAACAACTCGAAAGAAAACAATCAAAAGAAAAAGAAAGAAAAAGAAGAGAGAAGGAGCTTATGAAGATACTTTCATCAAAACGCACCGTCCGACTTGGCTAGCTACCTAGCTAGCTAGCTAGCTAAAATAATAGCTAGCTACCTAGCTAGCTAGACAAACTGCCAGCTAGCCAGCTAGGGGAGCAGGCAACTAGCCATCATCCGTCGAGCTAGCTGGCGAGCTAGCGAAGGAGCTAGCTAGTTAGCTAGCTCAGCAGCGAGCCTACACCGCTAGATGTGCTGCTAGCGGGTCAACTAGTTAGCTAGCTAGCTAGCTACTTAGCTAGCTAGCTACCCAGTTATATGCGCGGACAACCCCCGCAAGATGATTAATGTGTGACTAGCGAGCGTCGCCGGTGAAGCCCCAGCTAGCTAGCTAGCTACCCAGCTAGCTAGCTAGCTAGCTAGCTGGCTAGCCACCCAGCTAGCTATCGGCTAGTCAAAGAATTCATCAAGATGTAGAGGGCCTCTAGGGGCCCCTAATCAATTTACACTGCAAACGCTGCTTAGCTGCAGCTAGCAAGCAGCCAAGCCTGCAGCAGCTCCACCCAGCTAGCTAGCTAGCTAGCTAGTTGGTGTGGGGGGACTAGAACATCCCTGCGAGAGCGCAGTGCAGATAGCACCTGCTGCTGCTGCTGCTGTTGCTGCTGCTGCTGCTGCTGCTGCGCCAGTGCGAGCAGCAACGGCGGCGCTGCGATTGCAGTTTGAAGTACTGTCTCTATTTGCTGCTAACTGAAGTCCTTAAGTTTTCTTTCTTTTCTTTGTTTTGTTTATTTGTTTATTTATTTATTTATTTATTTATTTTGTTTTGTCTGTTTGTCTTTGTTTATTTTATTTATTTATTTTATTTGTTTATTTGTTTACTTGTTTGTTTTGTTGTCGCTTCTTTCTTTTGTCTGTCTCTGTCTATCTTTCTTCGTCTGTCTGTCTCTCTATTTGTTTTTGTCTCCGTCTATCTGTCTATCTGTCTCTCTGTCTGTCTCTGTTTATCTGTCTCCATCTGTCTCTGTCTATCTGTTTCTATCTGTATGTCTCTCTCTGTATCTGTTTGTTTGTCGCTATTGCTGTTGTTGGTGCTGCTATTACCTCTGCTGCTGCTGCTGCTGCTATTGCTGCTGCTGCTGCTGCTGCTGCTGCTATTGCTGCTGCTCCTGCTGCTCCTGCCGCTGCTATTGCTGCTGCTGGAGCTGGAGGCCACTTGCCAGGTGCTTTTGAAATTATTCAACGCAGCAGCAGCTGCTGCAGTAGTCATAGCAGCAGCAGCGGCAACAGCAGCAGCAGCGGCAACAGCAGCAGTAGCAACAGCAGCAGCAGCAGAACAACGTATAACGATAAATTGCTTTATTTTTGAGAGTTCATCAGCGGCAACTCCGCTGTGTTGTATTAATAATCCCTTAGGCTGAAGCGGCAGCAGAAGCAGCAGCAGCAGCAGCAGAAACCTGCTGCTGCTGCTGCTGCTGCTGCTAGACAAACCACCGTCGAGCCAGCAAGTGCCTCAGCAACTACTGCAGCAGCAGCAGTTGCAGCAGCAACTGCTGCAGCAGCAGAAGCAGCAACTGATGGAGAACAAGCCGACTTCGAATCTGTAGCTAATATCTCCTGAAGGTGATTTGCTGCTGCTGTTGCTACTGCTGCAGTTGCTGCTGCTGCTGCTGCTGCTACAGGTGCTGCTGCTATAAGAACAGTCGCATGAGCGTCAATATATTCTGCAAGGCCGCCAGCCGCAACTCAGCCGAGACCGTTTGCTTGCTGCTGCTCCTGCTGCTGCTGCTGCTGCTGCTGCTTCTGCTTCTCACGCTGCAGCAGCAGCAACAGCAGAAGCTGCTGCTGCTGCTGCTGCTGCGATCAGTGGTCGCTGGGCATTCCAAAACAAGCATTCAAGTTACAACTCAGAGCGTTGCAGCAAACAGCAGCAGCAGCAGCAGCAGATGCTGCAGCAGCAGCAGCAGCAGACGGAGCACTACATGCCACTTCGCAAAGCTCTATCTTGCTGCTGCTGTTCATGCTGCTGCTACTGCTGCAGCAGCAGCAGCTGCTGCTGCTGCAGGTCTCAGCTACCCATTAGCAGGGCACCAGACGCTGGAGTTAGCTGTAACGAACCAGGGTCTTGCTGGTGAGGAGGGGGAGCAGCAGCAGCAGCAGCAGCAGCTGCTGCTGCTGCTGCTGCTGCTTCTTCTTCGGGTACGCCAGAAGCTTGCAGCTCTCCCCCGCATTCATTGTGTTGCTCTGCGGCGTCTTCGCAAGCATCAAACGTTTCTGCTGTTGCTGCTGTTGCTGCTGCATTAGTTGCTGCTGCAGCTGTTGCTGCTGCTGCTTCTGCTGCTGTTTCATCGTGCTTTAGCTGTAGCGGGAGCTCCGCGCTGCTGCCAATGCCTTGCTGCTGCAGCAGCTGCTGCTGCTGTTGCTCGTGCAGCAGCTGCTGCTGATCAAGCAACTGCTGATGCTGCTGGATTTGCTGCTGCAGCAGCAGCTGCTGCTGCTGCAGCAACTGACATTCTTCATTGACTGCTGCCGAAGATGATGTTGCTGCTGACTGTACACCTTGTTGCTGCTGCTGCTGCTGCAGGGCAGCAAGCCCCATTTGCTGCAGCTCCTCAGCAGGAAGGCCAGCAATGCTGCAGCACAAAAATATTAACAGTGTCAGCAACCTGCTGCAGCAACAGCACCAGCAACAGAAGCAGCAGCAGAAGCAACAGCAGCACCAACAGAAGCAGCGACAGAAGCAGCAGCAGAAGCAACATCAGCAGCAAAAGCAGCAGCAGCAGCAGCAGCTTACGAGGCAACATAACCCCAAGCTGCTGCTTCAACTCGTTTATACTGTGGGGTGTCTTCACCTAACGGCAGCAGCAGCGCCTGCAGTGTCTGCAGCAGCAGCAGCAGCAGCAAATAAGAAAAGGTAAAGATGAACGAGACCAGAGAGAGAGAAGCACACACGCAATACTGTCTATTTGAGGTGTATACGCAGCTAGCAGCTAGCTAATTGCTGCAGTGTACGTACAGCTGTAATAGAGGGCAAGCAAGCCGCTGCTGCTGCTTTATGCAAGGCGAGGTCTTTGCTGCTGCTTGTTGCTGCTAGTCCTGCTTCTGCTGCTGCTGCTCCTTCTGCTGCTGGTGCTGCTGCTCCTTCTGCTGCTCCTGGTGCGGCTGCTGCTGCTGCTGCTGCTGCTCCTTTTGCTAGACGCTTCAGCTGCTTCAGCGAGCGGCGCTCTGACCGCAGCAAACGCCGCACAGCCTTACGCAGTCTCTCAGGGGGTAACGAACACATACCTGAGCAGCAGCAGCAGCAGCAGCAATGAACACACACACACACACACACACGCATACACATAATTACAAACACGTTCTCTACCCAGAGTGCAGCAACAGCAGCAGCAGCAAACAGCAGCAGCAAGCAGCAGCAGCAGAGGCTGCGGAGGCAGCAGCAACAGCAGCAGCAGCAAACTGCAGCTGTATGCGAGAGGAAAAGATTTACACACAACCAGACCCAGACGCTGCACCAGCAACAGACGAGCAGCAGCAAAAAAAAGACTGCAGCAGCAACAACAAAACAGCAGCAGCAGCAGCAGCAGCAGCAGCAGCAGCAGCAGCAGCAGCAGCGAGGGTCTCACTGAAGACATCGACGTCCTTCCGCCGCCTCTTCGGGGAATGCTGCAAAATAAAACAAAAAACAAACAAAGAAAGCAATTGCTGCTGCTGCTTCTGCTGCTGCTGCTGCTGCTGATGCTGTTGTTGTTTCTGCTGCTACTGGTGCTGCTGCGGCAACCTGCTGCTGCTGCTGCAGCAGCAGCAGCAACAGCAACAGCAGCAATTTCTGTGGACTCACAACGCCCTCCTGATCTCCGTTGAGTTCGTCTTCCTCCTCGTCTTCATCATCATCACCAGCAGCTGCTGCTGCAGGTGCTGCTGCTGCTGCTGCTGCTGCTCCTGCGAGCATCAAATCCTGCTGCTGCTGCTGAGCAGTGCCGTTTAGGAGTAGGCTGCTGGGTGGCGTTGAGGCAGCAGCAG